TTCACCCTGAATGCCCCTGTTACCTAGCAGTAAATAGGTACCTGGGTGTTAGTCAGCTGTCACGGGCTGCTTCCTGGGAGTGGAGGCCTGGTCGAGGACCGGGCCGCGGGGACACTAAAGCCCCGAAATCATCTCAAGATAACCGGGAGCCGGTCGGCCGAGCGGACAGCACGCTGGACTTGTGATCCTGTGGTCCCGGGTTCGATCCCGGGCGCCGGCGAGAAACAATGGGCAGAGTTTCTTTCACCCTATGCCCCTGTTACCTAGCAGTAAAATAGGTACCTGGGAGTTAGCTGTCACGGGCTGCTTCCTGGGGGTGGAGGCCTGGTCGAGGACCGGGCCGTGGGGACACTAAAGCCCCGAAATCATCTCAAGATAACCTCAAGATAAGATAGCTGTTCAAACTCGAGAGACAGGCGGGGGTGGGGGCGAAAGGTCCTAGCATGGATAAGGAACTACCTAACAGGAAGGAGCCAAAGAGTCATGGTAAGGGGCGAGAAGTCGGACTGGCGATCAGTAACAAGTGGAGTACCACAAGGATCGGTGCTGGGACCAATTCTATTTCTAGTATATGTTAACGGCATGTTTACAGGAGTAGAGTCCTACATGTCGATGTCTGCGGATGACGCAAAGTTGCCAAGAAGACTTGTGACAGATGAGGATTGCAGGATCTTCCAAGAGGACCTGAACAGGTTGCAGAGATGGTAAGAGAAATGGCTATTAGAATTCAACACGAGCAAATGTAACGTTATGGAAATAGGACTAGGAGATAGGAGACCAAAGGGACAGTACACAATGAAAGGGAACAGCCTACCTGTGACGACGCGAGAAAGAGACCTGGGTGTGGACGTAACACCTAATCTATCTCCTGAGGCACATATAAATAGGATAACGACAGCAGCGTACTCTACACTGGCAAAAGTTAGAACATTCAGAAACCTAAGTAAGGAGGCATTTAGGGCGCTTTACACCGTCTACGTGAGGCCAGTCTTAGAGTATGTCGCCTCATCATGGAGTCCCCATCTGAAGAAGCATATAAAGAGACTGGAAAAGGTTCAGAGGTTTGCAACGAGACTCGTCCCAGAGCTACGAGGGATGGGGTATGAGGAGCGCCTGAGGGAACTGTGCCTTACAAAACTAGAAAGAAGAAGTGAGAGGGGGAACATGATAGGAACGTATAAAATACTCAGGGGGATTGACAGAGTGGACATAGACGAAATATTCACACGGAATAGTAACAGAACGAGGGGGACATAGGTGGAAGCTGGAAACTCAGATGAGTCACAGAGATGTTGGGAAGTTTTCTTTTAGCGTGAGAGTAGTGGGAAAATGGAATGCACTTAAGGAACAGGTTGTGGAAGCAAATACTATTCATAATTTTAAAACCAGGTATGATAGAGAAATAGGACCGGAGACATTGTTGTGGGACATTTGGGGCTTGACTCTAATTATTTAAATATTAATATAGTAAAATCAATTACGAAGGACCACCCACTTTTATAGTAAAGAGGGAAACTGAGAAAATGTGATCATTAGAACATTCTAGATGAACCAGTAACTATGGATAAAATACTAGAGAATATGATCATTGAAATAATTAATGGGCTGTATAATTAAATGAATCAAAGCCTCAAACACCTACATTGGGGGGGTATTACTGGAACTCAGTACGTCCAGGAACTAGTGTGGTTCGTTCACTAATCCAATGTATAATAATCTAATCCTATGAATATTATGAAATCATTATCATTATCATTAAGGGGAACATAGATTATGAATATGTATAATAATAATTATAATAAACACATGTTAATCCAATGAACAGAGTTCTGCATGTAAAAGAGTACAGATAATAAATTCGAGGAATACAAAAGGAATCTTAGCTTAATGACGATTCCTTAGAAGTTAGTCACGACGCTTCCTCTGATTCTCCTGGACTCGTCATGGAACACTGGGAGTTGATTAACATGGGAAATGACAGCTCGGAGAATTCTTCACACACGCTGCAAAACAATTGTTTCCAGTAGCAACAGATTAAACTACTGGATTTCTATGTTCAATAAATGGATATTAATAATAAGAGAAAGATAATGACCTGTGATTTTTAGTTGTTATACGTCGTCACGACAAGCTACCCAGCTATAAACCCGCCCCCGATCTGATGCATCAAACAAGGATAAGGTACTTAGCTAATATGGGCACTGTGTAAGTTAAGGCTTGCCGAAGGTCGCGTCCTAGGCTCTAGACTTGTCTATCCTAGATACTGACACGCTCCACTGGCCGGTCACATGGAGTTACATAGAACCAAATTTAACAGGTTCCGTAAATGACACTGACACCAAGTGAACGTATTGTCTGCAAGGTTCTTCACACCTCACAGTGGCGACTTTCTTCTGGAGATTTGATAGCGTTTACCCTGGTGGCTGGGTAATGGCGTCTCCTCGTGAGCACCACGTGAACACGCCTACTCGTGAGCGTTTCAACACGTGGACTGGCGTCTTCTTCCGCCCCGCTCCGTGTCCCGCGTTTATTAACCAAATTATTTATTATGGATATTATCATTTCTCGCGGTTGTGCTTGAAATGCTCGGGTTAGGACGGGTTTATTATTTGGAAGAGTCAAATATTATTATTTGCCAGTTCTATGATAGTAAACGAACAATGGAGAAGAATTAATGTCTCTCCAGGGCATTCACTCGTGACGTTAATTTTATTACTAGATAACAGCTATAACTATAAACGCTCTATTTGGCTTTAGTTGGAGATCAGTTTATCTGTAATTAATTATCACACAGAACACCGTTGATTATGGAGAATCAAATTCAATTCTCAGGCGCATTGGATATAAATGTGTTTATTACAATGGAATCTGACGCAATACTGGCGTCGGGTGACGTAAGAATTCTAGCCTTACTGTACAGATGTAATTATTAGTACATGTGAACTCTACGTTGGGTTAATTTTAATCACTACAATGATTAGTAGAATTAGTAATAATTAATGAGAATACACAGTGTTGTATTCAATGTTGGAAATTTCCAACAATTGTTGTAGACAACCTATGCTCGAAAGGCGAGATCCAAGAGTCAATGCTCGATCCTGCAGACACAACTAGGTGAGTACAGGGTAGCAACACAAAAAATTCAGACCCCAACTAAAACGCAAAAAGTCATCCAGTGCCCTCGTTAAAGCAGAACAAAGCCGCCCATAACGGCTGAGGGCATACCAGGAGCCCACCACGGCTGAGGGCACACCAGGAGCCCACCATGGCTGAGGGAACACCAGGAGCCCACCATGGCTGAGGGAACACCAGGAGCCCACCATGGCTGAGGGCACACCAGGAGCCCACCACGGCTGAGGGCACACCAGGAGCCCACCACGACTGAGGGCACACCAGGAGCCCACCATGGCTGAGGGCACACCAGGAGCCCACCATGGCTGAGGGCACACCAGGAGCCCACCATGGCTGAGGCCACACCAGGAGCCCACCACGGCTGAGGGCACACCAGGAGCCCACCACGGCTGAGGGCACACCAGGAGCCCACCATGGCTGAGGGAACACCAGGAGCCCACCATGGCTGAGGGCACACCAGGAGCCCACCACGGCTGAGGGCACACCAGGAGCCCACCACGACTGAGGGCACACCAGGAGCCCACCATGGCTGAGGGCACACCAGGAGCCCACCATGGCTGAGGGCACACCAGGAGCCCACCATGGCTGAGGCCACACCAGGAGCCCACCACGGCTGAGGGCACACCAGGAGCCCACCACGGCTGAGGGCACACCAGGAGCCCACCATGGCTGAGGGCACACCAGGAGCCCACCATGGCTGAGGGCACACCAGGAGCCCACCATGGCTGAGGGCATACCAGGAGCCCACCACGGCTGAGGGCACACCAGGAGCCCACCATGGCTGAGGGCACACCAGGAGCCCACCATGGCTGAGGGCATACCAGGAGCCCACCACGGCTGAGGGCACACTAGGAGCCCACCATAGCTGAGGGCATACCAGGAGCCCACCACGGCTGAGGGCACACCAGGAGCCCACCATGGCTGAGGGCATACCAGGAGCCCACCACGCCTGAGGGCACACCAGGAGCCCACCGTGGCTGAGGGCACACCAGGAGCCCACCGTGGCTGAGGGCATACCACGAGCCCAACACGGCTGAGGGCATACAAGGAGCCCACCGTGGCTGAGGGCATACCAGGAGCCCACCACGGCTGAGGGCACACCAGGAGCCCACCATGGCTGAGGGCATACCAGGAGCCCACCACGGCTAAGGGCACACCAGGAGCCCACCACAGCTGAGGGCACACCAGGAGCCCACCACGGCTTAGGGCACACCAGGAGCCCACCACGGCTGAGGGCACACCAGGAGCCCACCAAGACCCACCAACTCCTGGCACCTCGCAGCCAAGCCGGCGCCGGACACCTTCACCCCTCTCGAAGACCCAGCCAGAAAACGTTCGAAATCTAGCAACTATCCCGTGCTTCAAGGTTATATGTGCGCCAGGCGTCGTAACAATCCGGACCGTTGACTAGGAATGCCAATCGACAGAATCAAAATCCAAAATCACGAAACAACGTGATCCGGCGGCCTCCAGGCGGAGCAGGTGTCCAGACGTTCAGTCGTCGTCAAGCTTGAACTAGGGGTCGTCAACACCCAACCCGTCCTCGACTCAATTCCATTACATCCAGCGGTCGACCCCACAGACGCATTCATAAATTTTAACTTGCTGTTCATTCAAAACAGGAATTTTCTCCAATATATATTAATATTATAATATATTAGCATATTGTGCATATATAGGCATAGGTTAGGTAGATTAGGTATATAGGTTTTGTTGACGATTATTTGTCTTTGTAGTACGTGAGTGAAGCATTTACTGCATAGTGGTTCGAACAAAATTCGTCAATGAAGCACTTGTTATGGAAGTGTTCGAACGAAATCAGTTGTGAGTCGTGTGTAAACCGTTTTTCATTCATAAACAGGGAGGTTTGGCGGGTGCAAGGTAACATTTGGGTCTTTGTTTGGAGGACGGGCTGCAACACCTTGTGTGTTGACACTTTGGGCACCTCGTGGGTCCTTGTTGACGTCGCTTAAACTCCGGAGCTGCTGGGACTTATTATAAATAATTTTTTTCTAGGTAATACTTTAACCATCGTTCTATTGTTTATTTTAAACATTTAAACGTATATGTCCATGTCAATGATGGACATATACGATGTATTAATTTGGCATTAGTATTTAACCTTTTAATTTATTAATTAAAAAGGCCTGACTGGTCTACCTGGAAATTTTCATGTGGCTCTCAATTTGTTTCTGGGCAGATAAATATTTTTTATCCGTTTTGTGTGTTAATTCTCATTATTTCCTAAAATGATTCCGGCTTGTAATAAACCAGAAACACGTTCAGGTGTTAGCTAAATATAATCTACATCAAAATGTTAATATACTAGTATATACTAGCTAGGTTTCAACTAACAATGTGGCAACTCTGGTCATAAAAAGAAATCCCACCAGATTCAACTAACACGAGATATAACATAACATTCTTCTAGAATGTTCTGGAGGGATGAAGGTTGACGCATTATCCTTGTGATTGCGTCAGTGTTCTCTGCTTGATTCCGTATATTTTATTTATCCAATTTTTTTAAATTTATTCCACTAAGTGTTCATCCATAACGATAATAACCTTTGAGGACGACCGCATAGAGCTTCGGTGCTTGATAGGACCGCTTAGTGGTTTGGGATCGACGTAAGAGTTACATATCACGTAAGTGGAAACGTAGGTGCTCCATGAGTTCTGGTCTGGAGTTGTCTTTGATTATTGTGTTAGCAACACTCAGGTTCCTGTGTTACATCTGGAGAGCAAAGTTTACATTGTGTAATCATACTTTCGCACCTCTCACAGGATGGCCTCGCTGGTGCTGATGACGGAGGCACAAATCTTTCGTCTTCCACCTAACGTAGGACGACCTCGACCCCCAGGTGAGTCTAAGTCTCTGCCTGATGCCTCAGGTGAGTCTAAGTCTCTGCCTGATGCCTCAGGTGAGTCTAAGTCTCTGCCTGATGCCTCAGGTGAGTCTAAGTCTCTGCCTGATGCCTCAGGTGAGTCGTAAGTCTCTGCCTGATGCCTTAGATGAGTCGTAAGTCTCTGCCTGATGCCTTAGACGAGTCGTAAGTCTCTGCCTGATGCCTTAGACGAGTCGTAAGTCTCTGCCTGATGCCTCAGGTGAGTCATAAGTCTCTGCCTGATGCCTCAGGTGAGTCATAAGTCTCTGCCTGATGCCTCAGGTGAGTCATAAGTCTCTGCCTGATGCCTCAGGTGAGTCATAAGTCTCTGCCTGATGCCTCAGGTGAGTCATAAGTCTCTGCCTGATGCCTCAGGTGAGTCATAAGTCTCTGCTAGACATAAATAATCCTCGCCCCTCAGGTGAGTCCTAAGTTAGAGGAGGAATTTTTCATAGAATTCTTCGTTTTTTCATTTCTTCGTTATTTTTCATACAATTTTAGTAAATTCGTTAGGATTGATTTTCCTTCTCTTAAACTATGCTGTTGTCTGGTTAAATACATAATTACGTATTTAAAATCGTCTTTAGGTGTTTAACCAATCACATCCTTATTTTTCTTTCGATTATTTTGCAGGGGATGATGGTTAGCTACACTGGTCGATAGTTAATTACCTCTACCATATCTCCTTTCTAGTATATTGGTACCACAATCGCCTTCTTTCAGCAGCTGGGAAACTAGCTTTGCAATAGTTTTTGTTCCTCCACGTTGATACATTGTCTGGTCCAATGGTTTCATTCAATCTCGGTACTAACTGTCTCGTTACTCAGCCCGTCCTCCAAACAAAGACCAAAAATATTATTCCATGCACCCGCCAAACCCCTTGTTTATGCAACCCGTCCTCGACTCAAGTCCATTGCATCCAGCGGTCGACCCCACAGACGCATTCATAAATTTTAATGTGCTGTTCATTCAAAACGGGAATTTCCTCAAGTATAAATTAATATTATAATATATTAGCATATTGTGCATATATAGGCATAGGTTAGGTTAGGTTAGGTGTTTAGGTTCTGTTGGCGATTATTTGTAGTACGTGGGTGAAGCATTTATAGCGTTGTGATTCGAACAAAATTCGTCAGTGAAACACTTGTTCCGGATATGTTCGAACGTCAGCAGTTGTGAGTCGTGTGTAAACCGCTTTTCATTCATATACAGGGGGTTTGGCGGGTGGATGGAATCACTTTTGGATCTTTGTTTGGAGGACGGGCTGGTTTATGAATGAAGAACGGTTTACTCACGACTCACAACTGATTTCGTCCGATCACTTCCGGAACAAGTGCTTTACTGACGAGTTTTGTTCGAACCACAACGCTTTAAATGCTTCACCCACAAACTACAAATACAAATAATTGCCAACAGAACCTCAACACCTAACCTAACCTAACCTATGCCTATAATGCACAATATGCTAGTATATTATAATAGTAATTTATATTTGAGAAAATTCCCGTTGTGAATGATCTGCATGTAAAATTTATGAATGCGTCTGTGGGGTCGACCGCTGGATGTAATGGACTTGAGTCGAGGACGGGTTGCGTTACTATCTCTGCTTTTACCTCAGAATTCGTCATTGCCTTCACACTGTCGTGAACATGCCATGGAAACCGGCATTTCGTTTCTATTATAATCCTTGTTATTTTATGTATGTTCGCCTAATCTTTAGCATAAACTAGTTACATACTCAGCTGATAGCAGTAGACTACTATCAGCTGCTTTTAAAAGACTGACTAGATCACCAACTAGAAGGGCAGGTCAGAGACCGGCCTCGCAGATAACAGCAAGTAAGTTGTGTTAAGAAGTTAACTTCCATAACTTCCACTTATTTTATATCCCACCTTTCTACTTCCCCTCAAGGGTAGTTCCTTGATTGCCAATCAATCTTTCGATGGTTTATGTCTACCTTGATTAGTTATTTTACTGTCATTCTGTGTGTTGCTGTTGCTGTTAAGTGAGATATCTGAAGAAAGGTTGTGAGGAAGGAAGAGGTTGTGCACATGTATGCACGCTTTTAGCTTAACCCTGTACATACCTATATATGCAGTTTGTTCACTCGAAAGATTCAGAATTGTGTTTCCAGGCAAGTATGAGGTCTGAACACTTCCGTTCTCCTTGCCTATCTGTAAATATGTACCTAGGAGTTGGTTACCTGTTGAGGCTTGCATCATGTGGTGCCTTCATTCATCAACTCCTACATAATTAAAACACTAAATGATGGAAGAAAGAAGAATGTTACAAAAAGGAACTATGTACCACCGCGCCACCAACCAAGGGAGCCTCCTCCTGCCTCCATGCTGTGCCGGGCATTGTTGTTGTTGTTGTATAAGGCACACTCTCATGCCACGCAACTGGGTTCCGCCCTGGAACTTTTTCTACTACTTCAACGCTTCCTCTCAAAGACTAACAGGAAACCATACGTCTGAATATTTTTACAATTTTGGGATTAAACGTTGCCCAAATGCTTTCTGCACAATTGTCCCGACTTATCTTTCCCACAACGTTTTGGAAACGTTCGTGGAGGTTGCAACAAAGTTTTATGTTTGTTGGGCACACACACACACACACACACACACACACACACACACACACACACACACACACACACACACACACACACACACACACCTCACAGCACCGTGGAACATCACCGCACACAGGGACGGGGGAAGAAAAGAGGATACTACCTGTGACTGGATCAACCAGGTATCAGGGAAATTCAGCAAAAAAACTGAGGGAAATGAATGAAATAATTCAGAGGCTCCATTGAGGACTGCGGGAAACCAAGGAAGAGTTAAGGAGACTCAGGGAAAATCTGAATTCGAACCAGTTCGAGGCAAGCAACCTCCTGGAACTAAGGGATGAAGCTGATTGCAGAAATGCTGCAAAACAATCCAAGTGCCAAGGCTGCTTTAGAGGTAGCAGCTATGAAAGTAGCTAATTTCTCAGGAAGCTGCAAAGTGCACTACACATATGCTGAAAATAGCTGTTACACTTGTAGAAGTACAGGAACCGGAAGGATCTAACCAGGAGTGATGAAGGAAGAACCAAACAACTGTGACAAAGATCTTGGAAGGTTTGGATATGGTTGGGGTTAATGGCAATATTGAGAAGGTTTTCAGGCTGGACTGCTACAAGAAGGAAAGGAAACGACTGATAACGTTAGTGCTCACGAACGAGACAACAAAAGAGGAAATCCTATCCAGGAAAAGCAGACTTATGAGGTTAAGGGAATAAAGGACGTTTTTCTGCAAAGCGACATGACGAGGGAAGAGAATGGAGGGCTGCAGAAGCAAGGAGGAGACGCAAAGACAGGGATGGGGATGAGGGAGTCTCAGGACTCTGCTCAGTTTCTCCACTAACCTCAGAGGAGAGGCGGTACCCCCCCCCCCAGAGGCAGTAGTAGTGGTGGTGGAGGAGGAGGGGAGGGAGAGGCAGTAGTGGTGGTGGTGGAGGAGGAGGAGGGGAGGGAGAGGCAGTAGTGGTGGTGATGGTGGAGGAGGAGGAGGGGAGGGAGAGGCAGTAGTGGTGGTGGAGGAGGAGGAGGAGGGGAGGGAGAGGCAGTAGTGGTGGTGGAGGAGGAGGAGGGGAGGGAGAGGCAGTAGTGGTGGTGGTGGAGGAGGAGGGGAGGGAGAGGCAGTAGTGGTGGTGGTGGAGGAGGAGGGGAGGGAGAGGCAGTAGTGGTGGTGGAGGAGGAGGAGGGGAGGGAGAGGCAGTAGTGGTGGAGGAGGAGGAGGAGGGGAGGGAGAGGCAGTAGTGGTGGTGGAGGAGGAGGAGGGGAGGGAGAGGCAGTAGTGGTGGTGGTGGAGGAGGAGGGGAGGGAGAGGCAGTAGTGGTGGTGGAGGAGGAGGAGGGGAGGGAGAGGCAGTAGTGGTGGTGGAGGAGGAGGAGGAGGGGAGGGAGAGGCAGTAGTGGTGGTGGTGGAGGAGGAGGGGAGGGAGAGGCAGTAGTGGTGGTGGAGGAGGAGGGGAGGGAGAGGCAGTAGTGGTGGTGGAGGAGGAGGAGGGGAGGGAGAGTAGTAGTAGTGGATGAAGAGGCAGCAGTAGTAGTGGGTCACCGTGTGCCACCTAGTGAGCACACGCACTAGGTGGCACACGGTGCGTGTGTCCCCTATTGCATGTGCGTAGGGGCACACGCAATAGGGGACACAGGTGGAAACTGAGCGCTCAAAGGAGCCACAGAGATATTAGAAAGAACTTTTTTAGTGTCAGAGTGGTTGACAAATGGAATGCATTAGGAAGCAATGTGGTGGAGGCTGACTCCATACACAGTTTCAAGTGTAGATATGATAGAGCCCAGTAGGCTCAGGAACCTGTCCACCTGTTGATTGACGGTTGAGAGGCGGGACCAAAGAGCCAGAGCTCAACCCTCGCAAGCACAACTAGGTGAGTACAACTAGGTGAGTACACACACACACACACACACACACACACACACACACACACACACACAAGAATATCATCAAAAGAATATCATCAGCGGCATATGCTAGACTGGCCAACATAAGAACTGCCTTTAGAAACTTGTGTAAGGAATCTTTAAGAACCCTGTATACCACTTATGTAAGACCAATCCTGGAGTATGCAGCTCCAGCCTGGAGTCCATACCTAATTAAACACAAGACAAAGTTAGAGAAGATTCAGCGGTATGCCACCAGGCTCGTCCCGGAACTGAGAGGATTGAGCTACGAGGAAAGGCTAAAGGAGCTGAACCTCACATCCCTGGAAAACAGAAGAGTAAGAGGAGACATGATAACCACCTACAAAATTCTCAGGGGAATTGACAGGGTGGACAAAGACAAACTCTTCAGCACGGGTGGGACACGAACAAGGGGACACATGTGGAAACTTAGTACCCAGATGAGCCACAGAGACGTTAGAAAGAATTTTTTCAGTGTCAGAGTAGTTAGTAAATGGAATGCATTAGGCAGTGATGTGGTGGAGGCTGACTCCATACACAGTTTCAAATGTAGATATGATAGAGCCCAGTAGGCTCAGGAATCTGTACACCAGTTGATTGACAGTTGAGAGGCGGGACCAAAGAGCCAAAGCTCAACCCCCGCAAGCACAATTAGGTGAGTACAATTAGGTGAGTACACACACACACACACACACACACACACACACACACACACACACACACACACACACACACACACACACACACACACACACACACACACACACACAGGAACGAGTATGTCAGTGTGAGAAGAGCAGCTGAGAAAAGGTATGAAAATGATACAGCTAATAAAGCCAAGACCGAACCCAAGCTACTACACAGTCACATCAGGAGGAAGACAACAGTGAAGGAACAGGTGATGAAACTTAGGGTGGGCGAGGACAGGTACACAGAGAATGACAAAGAGGTGTGTGAAGAACTCAACAAAAGGTTCCAGGAGGTCTTTGCAATAGAACAGGGAGATGTCGCGGTACTAGAAGAGGTGGCAGCAAACCAGGTGACCTTGGATAGGTTCGAAATTACAAGAGATGAGGTCAAGAAGCACCTATTGGAGCTGGATGTGAGAAAAGCTGTTGGGCCGGATGGAATCTCGCCATGGGTATTGAAAGAGTGTGCAGGAGCACTTTGCCTACCACTCTCCATAGTGTATAGTAGGTCACTGGAAACGGGGGACCTACCAGAAATATGGAAGACTGCTAATGTAGTACCAATATACAAAAAGGGTGACAGACAAGAGGCACTGAACTACAGGCCAGTGTCCTTAACTTGTATACCATGCAAGATGATGGAGAAGATTGTGAGAAAAAACCTAGTAACACATCTGGAGAGAAGGGACTTCGTGACAACCCATCAACATGGGTTCAGGGAGGGTAAATCTTGCCTTACAGGATTGATAGAATTCTACGATCAGGTGACAAAGATTAAACAAGAAAGAGAAGGGTGGGCGGACTGCATTTTTTTGGACTGTCGGAAAGCCTTTGACACAGTACCCCATAAAAGGTTGATGCATAAGCTAGAGAAACAGGCAGGAGTAACTGGGCGCTCCAGTGGATAAGGGAGTACCTAAACAATAGGAAGCAGAGAGTTACAGTGAGGGGTGAGACCTCAGACTGGCGTGAAGTCACCAGTGGAGTCCCACAGGGCTCTGTACTTGGACCTATCCTGTTTCTGATATACGTAAATGATCTCCCAGAGGGTATAGACTCATTCCTCTCAATGTTTGCTGACGACGCCAAAATTATGAGAAGGATTAAGACAGAGGAGGACAGCTTGAGGCTTCAAGAAGACCTGGACAAGCTGCAGGAATGGTCGAACAAATGGCTGTTAGAGTTTAATCCAAGCAAATGTAATGTAATGAAGATAGGGGTAGAAAGTAGGAGACCAGATACAAGGTATCATTTGGGAGATGAAATACTTCACGAGTCAGAGAGAGAGAAAGACCTGGGGGTTGATATCACGCCAGACCTGTCCCCTGATGCTCATATCAAGAGGATAACAGCAGCAGCATATGCCAGGTTGGCTAACATAAGAACGGCCTTTAGAAACTTGTGTAAGGAATCTTTCAGAACATTATATACCACATATGTCAGACCAATCCTGGAGTATGCGGCACCAGCATGGAGTCCATATCTAGTCAAGCATAAGACTAAAATGGAAAAGGTTCAAAGGTTTGCCACCAGGCTAGTACCCGAGCTCAGAGGTATGAGCTACGAGGAGAGACTACGGGAATTAAACCTCACTTCGTTGGAAGACAGAAGAGTTAGGGGGGACATGATCACCACATTCAAGATCCTCAAGGGAATTGACAGGGTAGATAAAGACAGGCTGCTTAACACAAGGGACACACGCACTTGGGGACACAGGTGGAAACTGAGTGCCCAAAGGCGGGACCAAAGAGCCAGAGCTCAACCCCCGCAAGCACAACTAGGTGAGTACAACTAGGTGAGTACACACACACACACACACACACACACACACAGGAAGCAGCCAGTAACACCTGTCTAACTCCCAAGTACCTATTTACTGCTAGGTAACAGGTGCATCAGAGTGAAAGAAACTCTGCCCATTTGTCTCTGCCTAGTCCGGGAATCGAACCCGGGCTACAGGATTACGTGTCCCGGGGGAGATAATTCCTAGCTCTACCAGGTACTCAAAGTTCAATACACTGTGGTCACTCATTCCCAAGGGCGCTTCCATCTTAACTTCCCTTATATTCCACTCATTTAGGGTAAATGTCAAATCCAGCATTGCTGGTTCATCTTCTCCTCTCATTCTTGTTGGTTGGTTCAAATGTGCGTGCGTGTGCGTGTATGTGTGCGTGTGTGCATGTGCGTCTCCTGTATATCACCTGGATATCAATCAAATTATTCTTTTCCCATTTTCAGGCCCGGTGTTGCCCAGCTGTGCGTGTGTCCGCGACCAGCCCTGCCCATGCAGAAACAGCGGCAAACCCTATTTTGTAATTCACCCATAGAACTCTTGCCATGTTCACAAGTAGTCTCTGGTTCTCAATATATCCACATGTATTACTGAGGCGTTGAGGATACTCGCGTGTTATTTAGAGCTGATAACAATTATATGAGTAAACATGTGTGGAAATACATGCTAATAAATGAGGTTTAATGTGCGTTTTTATTTCATTGACAAAAATCAGTAGCATTTCCCGCATGTATTTAATTCTATACAAATGTTCATTTGATTTATAGTCACAGCAGTAAAATATTGACGGTAGTGTTGACTAGTTAGATAGTAGAGCTCTGAGAAGAGTAATGAGCAGTGAGACAGTAATGAGCAGTGAGACAGTACTGGAGACAGTAATGACTTGTGAGGCAGTCCTGGGACAGTATTGACGAATGAGACATTATTGAGTAGTGAGAGTGAAACAGGGCAGTGAAACAGTACTGTGAACAGTAATGACCGGTGAGTCATTACTGTGGACAGTAATGACCAGTGTGGCAGTACAGTATTCTCACGGTACTCTCTCTACAGCTCTGAGCTGCAATCCCAAAATGTCACATTCTTCGAAATAAAGCTCATAAGTTTATTGTTACGGGTTCTATCAGCAAGTAACTCTGGTTATTTTTCGTGCCTCTTTCTTCACGGATCCAATCCCAAGTCAAGGTAAAGTTACCAAGACTTAGCAGTAATAGACAATCGAAAAGGGGAAGGGGTTAAACAATGGACAACACCATCACCAAATGTACCTAAATAATATGTATAGGTAATTATAAGCAATAATATACTCCAATATATATACACCACATATAAGGCCGAACGTGTCACTTTCACTCTGAACACCTCAACACCCTTTGCTGTGTTCTATCACGGCGAGTCCTCTTCTTGCACAACTCTCAGGGCTCCTCCCCTGTATGCCCTTCTTCTGATAAACATACACCGGTGAGACCCCTTCAACAAGTCTCAAGCCAGTCTTCCACAGTATTCCTCAAAGGGTTTCAACAGCCACTCTAGCAACACTCTCGCTAGCTACCTCTCAAGGCTTCACCAGAAGCAAACCTGGAACATCTGTCGGTCCTAGTGGACCGACAGATGTTCACTCAGTCTACGAACACAACTTGCCCATCCCGGGATACGTCGTTCCAACATAAGTAGCCAGCGAGCTACTGGTGTTGGAAGCCTTGTGTTCCCAAGGACAGGATAGTTGATAGATTTTGAAAGTTTTCTGGCTGGTTCTTCGGACGGGATGACGGTGTCCGGCGCCGGCTTGGCCGAGAGGTGCCTGGAGTTGTTATGTCTTGGTGGGCTCCTGGTGTGGCCTCAGCCGTGGTGGGCTCCTGGTGTGGCCTCAGCCGTGGTGGGCTCCTGGTGTGCCCTCAGCCGTGGTGGGCTCCTGGTGTGCCCTCAGCCGTGGTGGGCTCCTGGTGTGTCCTCAGCCGTGGTGGGCTCCTGTTGTGTCCTCAGCCGTGGTGGGCTCCTGGTGTGTCCTCAGCCGTGGTGGGCTCCTGGAGTGCCCTTAGCCGTGGTGGGCTCCTGGAGTGCCCTTAACCGTGGTGGGCTCCTGGAGTGCCCTTAGCCGTGGTGGGCTCCTGGAGTGCCTTTAGCCGTGGTGGGCTCCTGGTGTGTCCTCAGCCGTGGTGGGCTCCTGGTGTGCCCTCAGCCGTGGTGGGCTCCTGGTGTGCCCTCAGTCATGGTGGGCTCCTGGTGTGGCCTCAGCCGTGGTGGGCTCCTGGAGTGCCCTCAGCCGTGGTGGGCTCCTGGAGTGCCCTCAGCCGTGGTGGGCTCCTGGAGTGCCCTCAGCCGTGGTGGGCTCCTGGTGTGCCCTCAGCCATGGTGGGCTCCTGGTGTGCCCTCAGCCGTGGTGGGCTCCTGGTGTGCCCTCAGCCGTGGTGGGCTCCTGGTGTGCCCTCAGCCATGGTGGGCTCCTGGTGTGCCCTCAGCCGTGGTGGGCTCCTGGTGTGCCCTCAGCCGTGGTGGGCTCCTGGAGTGCCCTCAGCCGTGGTGGGCTCCTGGAGTGCCCTCAGCCGTGGTGGGCTCCTGGTGTGCCCTCAGCCATGGTGGGCTCCTGGTGTGGCCTCAGCCGTGGTGGGCTCCTGGTGTGGCCTCAGCCGTGGTGGGCTCCTGGAGTGCCCTCAGCCGTGGTGGGCTCCTGGAGTGCCCTCAGCCATGGTGGGCTCCTGGTGTGGCCTCAGCCGTGGTGGGCTCCTGGTGTGCCCTCAGCCGTGGTGGGCTCCTGGAGTGCCCTCAGCCATGGTGGGCTCCTGGTGTGGCCTCAGCCGTGGTGGGCTCCTGGTGTGGCCTCAGCCGTGGTGGGCTCCTGTTGTGTCCTCAGCCGTGGTGGGCTCCTGGTGTGCCCTCAGCCATGGTGGGCTCCTGGTGTGCCCTCAGCCATGGTGGGCTCCTGGTGTGGCCTCAGCCATGGTGGGCTCCTGGTGTGCCCTCAGCCATGGTGGGCTCCTGGTGTGTCCTCAGCCGTGGCGGGCTCCTGGTGTGCCCTCAGCCGTGGTGGGTTCCTGGTGTGGCCTCAGCCGTGGTGGGCTCCTGGTGTGGCCTCAGCCGTGGTGGGCTTCTGGTGTGGCCTCAGCCGTGGTGGGCTCCTGGTGTGGCCTCAGCCGTGGTGGGCTCCTGGTGTGCCCTCAGCCGTGGTGGGCTCCTGGTGTGCCCTCAGCCGTGGTGGGTAGCTGGGTTCTCCTCTAATGGAGGGCACTGGATGACTTTTTGTGTTTTAATTTGGTGCCGAATTTTTGGTTTTGTTACCCTGTGCTCTGTGTGGGGCGGGGCCGGTGCTTGTCACCCTGAGGGACTCCTGGGGCTCCCCAGTGTTCTCTGTGTGGGGCGGGGCCGGTGCTTGTCACCCTGAGGGACTCCTGGGGCTCCACAATTATCTGCCCGTCTGTTCGTTTATTTGGCATGAGGCACATTAACTTCCGCTGATAAGCGACTTTCATGTACCTAAATACATGATGGAATGAGTGTAATTACATAAAATGGAAAATGTTTAATTTTTTCAATTTTTTGTAGTATTTTACTAAACTAAGCTCTCCTCACCGGAGACCTCCCACACACCAACGATAGACAATTATATATTTTTAAAAGAAAGAAAGATTTAGTTAAGAGACATAGACAGAGAGACCGGTAGATAGAAACAAAGACAAAGGAGACAGAGATAGACAAAGACAGAGACAGACAGTATAGTTGGATGGATAGACGGATGGTAATAGAGATGGCTGGATAGATAGATAGATAGATATATAGACAGATAGATAGTAAAATTGGTACATGGATGGGTAGATAGATGGATATATGGATTGATAGATGAATTTATAGATGGGGTATATTGTTTGGACAGATGGTTGGATGGATAGTCGGATAGGTTGCTGGTATATATATGTGTAAATGGACGGATATATAGATGAGTACATGGATCATTAAATAGATGGATTGATAAAATATTAATGGATGGATAACCAAATACATTGAAGGATAGATATATACATAAGTGGATGGAATGACTATTATTTGGTGGATAATTGGATGGAGAGAAAGGTCGATGAATAAATAGATGGGTGACCAGATTGATAGATGAATGAATAGATTCATTTATTCATTCAGATAGATGATTGGAGGGAAAGATAAATGGATGTAAATAGATTAATGGACCGATGGAGAGATATATCGTTAGATTGATAGATGGGTAGATAGATAGGCAGATAGACACTTGGATTGATGGAATGATAGATGGGTGAATGGATAGATAACTGAATGGATAGACAATTGAATGGATAGATGGATAGATAGATGATTAAATGATTGGACAGATGTATACATTGATGGATAGATGTTTGGATAGAAGGAAAAATAGATGGCCGTATAGAAAGAGAGATACATATATTGAATGATAGATGGATGAATTGATGAATAGATGGATGAATTGAAGGATAGATGATGATAGATGGATAATCAATGTATAGATTAATGGATGGACAGATAAATAAGACAGATGGAAGACTGTCAAC